AATGGCATCCGGAGCCCTGGGCCCTTTTAAATCGCCGGCCCCAGGGCAACTGCTCCCTTTGCCCCCCCACCCGTCGGAGGCTGCGGGGGAGGGGAGGGCCAAAGGGGCAGGGACATTAAATCGCTGCAGGGCCCTTTGCCGCGGCAGAGCTTTAACCTCGTTGTCCATCCCCCACCCTCTGGCAGCGGCGGCCCTGCGCTGCTGACAGGGGAGGCGAAAGGGGCAGGGACATTAAAGTGCTGCCGATGCGGGTTCTCACTGGTACGGAGTACCAGCCCGTACCAGCTCACTTTCACCCCTGGTTTACGCTAAATATAGCTGTGTGGACATTGCACTACCAGAGGCTTGAGCTAGCCACTTGAGCAAAAGCCCACCCTGGGTTCGAGGTGGGGTGGCTGGCCTCCTCCAGTGCCGAAACATCCCCACAGCTATTTTAGCACTCTAACTCGAGTCCCATTAGTGTGAGTCAGTCTACATGGGCTGTGAGGCTCGCTCCTGACGGCATACATACTCTCATGGTCTTGTTACAATATGATACTTTTCTGTACTTGCAGCATTTGTGAAAAACCAAAAGAAACAACAATACAAAGGTTATTAAAACAATAAGAGTCAGCTTCTAAAATGTATAACACACAGTTTCCCTTTCATTTGCTGTTGTCACATATACCATTGAGGCATGTGTACAGAATATCAGTGATCTAGTTGCTGGCCTGCAAACAGTTTGTGTTTTGCTGCCCTCACAGTCTCCCTGTTGATAATAATCTTTGTTAACTGTTGAATCTGTCCCAGAGTGACCGAGAAAAGTCTGAGGGACTTCCAGTGGCACCTTTCATGGACCGAGATAAAGTGACCAAACCAACAGCACAGATCGGGTTCCTTAAGTTTGTCCTGATCCCAATGTTTGAAACAGTAACAAAGGTAAGTTTTTACAGTTCTAAGATGCCTCCTGGAGCTGAGAACATTTCAGCTTTGATTTTGATAAACGTTTAGTCAGCCAGTGACACCTGCTCTCGCTCCATTTCTATCATTTACAGATAAATAAATATTTAAAGAAATGGTCGTTTGACTTTTCTCACTTTTGTTTAGCTTTTTCCAGAAGTTGACGAAGTGATGCTCCAACCTCTTTGGGAATCCAGAGACCGCTACGAGGAATTAAAACAACTAGATGATGCTATGAAAGAGGCAAGTTATACATTCCCAGAACTGAGTGACATATTTCAGTCAAATATTAAATTTGCTCAAAAATTCAGTGAGGAGTGACCAAAACTATTCGTGAATATGGGTTGAATTCAGCAAATAGTTTTGGCTGAATAAAATTTTCTTTAAAAAGTTGAAAAAGTCTAAAGGGTTTATTTTGGCTTTTTAAAGGCAAAATGTTTTGACTTTTCATGTCAAAACATTTCTTTTTGAAATCTAGCTCCATGTGTTCACATTTTTATTTAAAAGGGTAAAACACCGAAAACGTAACAAAAGGAAAATAATTGTTTCACTCAAATTACATATTTTGTTCAGGCCAAAATTATTTTTTTCAGCCTTTTTGTTTCATCAAGAAAAAAAATCAGTTTCAGTTCAAAACAAACCGATTTTGTGGATTTGAACTGAAAAATCAATTATTCTCTCTGCTCTATACATATGCTCTGGGTGGTACTAAGAAGTGAAACAGACAATTCAAGTTCTTCTTCATGTTGATGATATTTATTGCTTTTGATTATATCTATGGTCACTTTTTCTTCCTATATATTTGTAAAGCCCCAGACATACCTATGGATAAGTAATAATAATAATAAATAGAAAGAGCAAGAGAAGCAGTCATGATACCTAACCACAGAAAAGAAAATGGCAAAAAAAAATTCTGGGTGCACAGAATGAGTAATTAAAAAGAGCCTGCAGAGATATTACCAGATGTCATTGGCATTACACCAGAAATTGCTCTCGCTCTCTCTCTTATACTGCACACACACGCATACCATACAATACGATTAAACAAACGACCACATTAATTCATTTTATGGCCCAGGTTAAACTATCTATCAATGGTATTTACCAAATGTCTCCCCCTTTGGCATGTAAGACCTCTGAGAGCTTCGATGATATCTGTAACCAGGCGTCAGGTCTTTCAGCTCTCTCTAACCTTTGCCAAATCCTTTTCAGCACTGTGCAAGCAAGAGAATCACAGTGTTGTGCTTGGTCCTGCTCCCATTGAAGTCAATGACATAGCTCCCATTGACTTTAGTGATACAGAATGATGCTCTTAGTGCTCAGACTGTGACCTCTACTCCTGAGTCATCTCCCTCTGAGGTCAGAGTTTAGGTTTCTTTTCGTCTCGTCAATGATGCCCAACAGCAGGTAAGCCCAAATGCACTACATCCAAATCCAGTTACCTTACATAAAAGCAGAGTTTATGGGCTCAGGAGAGAAAACAGAGAAAAATCCGAAAATAAATTAAGCTCATCTAGGTGGATGCTCTGATAAAAGCACTGATTGAGGGGCACAAAGCTGGTGGTACAAAGTATGGAAATGTTACTTACCGTATAGTTAGAAAAACTCTTTTTGGTCTGCCTTAAGATTCTTTTCCTACTGTGTTAGATTAATGTCACCCTGTTTTAGGAAGTCTGTATGTATGTATATGTATGTATATGTATATGTGTGTGTGTGGTGTGTGATCTCAAATTCTTTTTCCTCTTCCATTCACTCTAATTTAAGTGATCTTTCTGTTGACAGAGTCATTTTTCCCTTGGTGGGTATCCAATTCTCAACACCATTATCTGAGTCAGTATCCAGTAATACAGTAAAAAGAACAGGAGTACTTGTGGCACCTTAGAGACTAACAAATTTATTAGAGCAGAGGGGCACATTGTGATATATGCCACCATGTGCCTGCAATGCCCCTC